TTTTTTTTTTTTTTTTTTTTATTGGGGATTGAACTCAGGTCCTTGTGTTTGTGTGGCAGGCGGTGACACCACTAAGCTAAATCCCTGGCCCCTAGATTGCTCATTTTTAATTGACCTTTTAAAAAATTTATTTCATTAACTAGTTTTTTTCTACTTTTCATTTTCACTTTACATTATCTACTTCTGTACCTTTAGATTTAGTTTATTTATGCATTTTTATGGTGTCAGTAGATGGAAAGTTTGACTACTGATTGGCATTCTTTCTTAATATATTCAATTATTTCTATAAATTGACCTGGATGTACTGCTTTAGATGCGTGGATATGTATTGCTATAATTTAGTTTCATTTTCATTTATTATCTTCAATTACTAAACTATATTATTTGCATAGTAAATAATTCAGTCAAAAAAGCATCTTAGCTGCAGAAAACACAAGCCCCAGGTCCTAATGTGCCATCCTCATGGTGAAGGAATTTAGGTTATCTCCCCCAGGATGCACTGAAAATACACCAGTGTACCTCCACATACTGGTGGGAAAGCTTCTTTACAACACTTACATTACTTTCTTTAGTCTATCTACTAGTCTATGAGATTTTGATTAAGTACAACTGCCCTAAAAACCTCAATTCATGTTTCATTCTACAGAATCTTTTTAACCAGTTTTAGTTAAGAATGATATATATGTGTATATATTTATATATATATAAAACATAAAATTCATTCTTTGTAAACTAAATGTTACATGAATGTTTTTCACTCATGCAACTGTCCTCACAATTTAGTTTGAAAATGTATTTTGAAAAGATTTGTCATGCCCATTTCAATCTATTCCTGCTCCAACTCAATTTCCAGGAAAGCACTCGTGAAGTTTTGAGCAGTATAATTTTGCTTTTACTAGATCTTTCATAAAAATGGATATTACAATATTTACTCTTTGTTTCTGCCTTTTTTATTGTTGCTTAGTATTATTTCTACAAACTCTTACATTTAGTTGATACTTCAGTATTTGGTCAATGGAATAAATTGGCTTTTATCTGAATAGTGATTTTTTAACACTTTTTTCACAAACACAAATGATAAAAGTTTTTGTCAAATGTTGCTCATCACATTTCTATACTCATAAAAACCAGTGATAGGAACATGTAAGGTAACAATTAAAATAAATTAAACCACTTGAATATCAGAAAAAATGCACACCAACTACTATTCTTGGTTATTCTTTCCACAGAGAAATTTGACTAAAATAGCTTAGTATTTTCCCATGAACACTGAATTAACTTTTAAAGT